GGGTGGGTGCAGGGTGGGCACCGGGGCTGGGGAAGCAGGGTGGGGCACAGCCCCCCAGCTCAGCCCCACTTGCCACCCACAGCTCAGCAGCAGCAGCCTGGTCCTGCAGGAGTGGTTCCGTCTGTCCAGCCAGAAATCATCTGTCCCTGACACGGTTGCCAACCACCTCCTGGCCTTTGCCGAGGTCTCACCGGCTCTCCTGGCCCATGTGGTGAACCTGGCAGACGGGAATGGCAACACAGCCCTGCACTACAGCGTCTCCCACTCCAACTTCCACATTGTGCGGCTACTGCTGGACACGGGTCAGTGCCCCCCACCCCCAGAAACGTCTCCCTGCCACCATCCCACTCTGTACCCCAGGGCACATCCTGGCCATGCCAGGCATGGGAGGAAGGAGCCGGCAGCAGAGGGGCAGGGAGAGCTGCCCTGGGCTGTGTCTGTGCACAGGTGGGGTGGGTTTGGGCAGCCACCCCAGCCCTTTGGGAGCCCAGATTTGATGTGGGGGAACACATCAGCAGGTTTGTGCCCTTGGGGCTGTGGGACTGCTCGCAGCACCCTGGGCAGGGTGGGAGCCAGGCAAGGGGCTCCTGCAGCACCCTGAGCCCCCCCAGCTCTGCCCATCCCCACAGGGGTCTGTAATGTGGACCACCAGAACAAAGCAGGCTACACAGGGCAGGGCTGGCAGCCGTCGAGCAGGAAGATGACATGAACGTGGTCCGGAGGCTCTTCAGCTTGGGCAATGTCAATGCCAAGGCCAGCCAGGTTAGTGTGGGCCGGGGGCCACCATGTCCTGACCCTCTCCCTCAACCCTCAAGCAGCTGCCAAGGCCACACTCAGCTCCTCCAAGGGCAGGAATGTGTCTCCAAAACCTGGAGAGGCCAGTATGTGGAGAGGGCATCACATTAGGAGCTCCTTCTGTGTGGTATCAGGTCACACCCACACCTAATCTCTAGTCAGGGAGGTGCTCAGAGACTGCGTGGGTAGCCGGGGAGAGCAGTGGTCCCTCCCTGAGGCACTGGGAAGAGCAGGTGGCACAGCCAGCGCAGGAGCAGCCTGGCAGCATCCCTTGCCTCGCAGGCTGGCCAGACGGCGCTGATGCTGGCCGTCAGCCACGGCCGGCAAGAGATGGTGGAAGCCCTGCTCGCCTGCGGAGCCGACGTGAACCTGCAGGACGAGGAGGGCTCGACCGCGCTGATGTGCGCCTGCGAGCACGGCCGCGTGGAGACAGTGAAGCTGCTACTGGCTCAGCCCACCTGCAACATCTCCATCGCGGACAGTGTAAGCCTCTGCCGCTGGGGCCTGGGCACGCTTACCCACTCTGTGTCCTGTCCCCAAACCTCTTTGGACGTGCTCTGCCTTCCTTTTTAGGATGGTAACAACGCCGTTGCCATTGCACTGGAGGCCGGCCACAGCAACATCGCCATGCTCCTCTATGCCCACCTCAATGGCACGAAGGCACAGATGTCCGTGAGTACCGCAGCACGCGCTGCCCCCACCCCCGCCCCCATCCTGTCCCACACAAGGGCCACGGAGGTGGCACTGTGCCAGTGGCTCAGCTGCACGGTGGGCAAGTGGCCCCGTGGGAGGGGGACA